TCATGAATGTTCATTTATAATTTTATATAATATTATAATTTTAACATTATGATTAAAAAATTAACACTTTAATAAAGTGATGTATGAAAAAAACATAGTTCTACCACTATGTCCTTCTCTTCCAAGGTGAATTATCTGGGAAAATTCTTATCCAAATATCAATGTTTTGTTGGACTCCAAACAACTATCAAGTATCAACCTACCTAAGTTCAAACTTTTACTCGAAATTAAAGTTTCGAATCAGCTGGAAGGTTCGCACATTTGCACCTCTATCGAGAGATGCCATAATTGTGACGCAGCCTACTCATGTTTCAGGAGTTGCTGGCTTAGTTATTATAGGCTGGGACTCTTGGCGAGCTATGCGTAGAGCTCTCTGATTACATCCATTTCTTCATTAATAGGATGTCCCTTTACCAACTCATACTTGTGACTACTTTTCTTTACATTAGAAAATAAATTATACAAATTAAATGAAATAATTTTTTTTATTTATATCAAAATTTAAATTCAAATCTTTAACTTCAAGTTTAAAATTTAAAATTAAAATTCAAACCTTTAACTTCAAGTTTGAAACTTGAAGTTTCAAAATAATCCACTTGAAACATGGGGTTGGGGAATTAAATCATTGCACAAGCACAAATGTGCAATTTTGAAAAAAGTTAACAAAAGCAAGCATCAAGTATGGCTACACTTTTCATTTTCATTTCACAGAAAAGGGTTAACACCCATCTCCAGACAGCTACATACATCATTATTCCTTCCCTAGATTACACCAACGCACGAAAACAAACCACCCAAGGCCTTCTTTACATAACTCATCAAACCTAGCAAGCCTTCCCCATTTCCCCTACTGCTATCACCCTTAACCCATCCCCTTTCATACATATGAGTGGCCTCCTTCTTGCCTTGGACCAGGGAAGAACATCTTCTCATCTTGGTTATTAAGCACCTGATCCACCTCTTCTACCTTGCTCTTAAAGACCAACTATTTTGCTTCCTTTTCAAAGAGCTTCACGATGTTCCTCTTTCCCGCAAGAGAGTACCTGATGTTCCCCTCTGCATTCACCTCAAAGCAGAGGATCTCCATATTGCTGTTCTTGGATGCCACCGTCACGAATGGATGACCCCGTGGGACGATGAAGACGGTGTCCGTTTCCAGGGGGGCGTCTTTTGTGTGGTATCTGGGGCTGCTCTTCCACTCCTTGTCTTTGGAGTCCTGTTTTGAGACATGTGGCATGCGATTTCGAAGTATCCTGCTCTACCTTTGACGACAATGCAAAGGTTAGTTGACTTTGAGTGAAAGTAAGGACCAGACATTGATCCCTGCTCAACAAACAACATGGTAAGTTGATTTCCTCATTCCACGGGCAAACAGAAGCAGAGAAAAAAAGAGTGGAGGGGGAATTGATTACTTTGGTGAGGTTGACATAAGAGACCCTAATGTCAAGAAGCCCGAGGGGCTTGAAGTCTACTTAATCGGCTTCGAAGAGTTCACCGTAGTTGTTGGACATAGAGGGACGCTGGTTTAAGAGATTGAAGGCATCCCTTGACTCACCTCCAAAAGGCCAAATGCTACCGCCTGCACTACCACCTTTTTCATGGTGGCTCAGGGCCTTGATTTGCTCTCTGGATTCTCCGAAGATGCGTCCTTTGTCCTGTCTCATGAACAGCCTCTCCAATTGGTCTCTTGAAGTCTAGTTGTTTGATCAGGAAATTTAAGAAATTAAAACCTTTACATGGGAAATCATGACTTGATTGTGATTTTGGAAGTTTTATACCTTCAATGCAGCTTCAAGGATGTTCCAGCTGAGTGCTTGAGTGCAGCGAAAATTGATATTCCTCTCTTCCCACCTCGACTGAAGAATACCTACATGATCACAAGACGACCGTTAACAATGAATCTTCGGCAAAAATGAGGGCGAAATAGTGTTTCTTTGTCAATGGTACTGGATTTACCTCGCACTGTCCGGGATCATTGATGGTTTGGATCAGATTGACAACGTAATGCTTCTCATTTTCATCTCTGTTAATCAAATAAACAGGGGTGCCTGGAGGAATCCTAAACAGATCTCCACAGTCCACATTGAAGCTCTCCCTCTTGTTCTCAAGGATCAGACTCACAGTTCCCTTTCCTACACAGCACGCATAACAACAAAAACTCATCTTGAAACATAAGATTAATTGAAAGAACAAAGATTTTAAAAGATATGCATCAGCATTACCCTGTGTAACGACGAACAAAGCATCAGCATCCACGTGGTTTGGACGACAAAGGCGTCAGGATAAACTACGAGGACGCCCAGTCGATGATTCTCAACGACGCGTAGAAGGTTAGACCTGTCTGTGAACTTGGGAAGCAGAAAGACACTTCCTCCTACAGACTTGATTTTAACGTCAAAATGCTCGTTTTCAAATACATAAGGGTTGCTGTCTTCTTCTTCTTCCTCCTCTTCCTTCTTTTCTTTCTTTTCCTTTGTGTTTCCATCTCCGCCTTCTTCTGCTTCTCTTCCCCACTTCTGTTCGCACCGTCGGGGACAGATTTGCCTGACTTCTTCGGCTGTCCTCTCACATTGCGCCATGCATTGTGTCAGCTTCTTGCCAGAATATTCCATGCTAAAGTCATGAGGGTCTTCGCCCTCTCGCTTTTTCTTCTCTCTGTAGTAGTCTTTGCACCTCTCCATGCATGCTTCTTTAACTGGTCCCCATCGAATTGCTGTTGGACCTTGCATTGGTGTTTGCATTGCTTTAAGTCCAGTTTGCAAGCAAACGCAAAGCCATCAAACAAAACAAGTATAGAAAGGAGCAGAAAAACAAAGGAAACCCTCGATTTGGTAGCCATTTTCCTTTGCTCTGATGCAGAAAGTAAGCATCAGCTAACATTTTATAAGGCGCAAGGAGGATCATGCATAAAGACGGATGTCCACCTTACGTGCTAGCCAAAGTGAAGGCTAGAACGCCGCATAATGCTGGTTTGGACGGTAGAGATGACCACGTGGGCGTACGGTCCTGAGAACTATATAGTTTAGAGGATGAAGCCTGCACCTCCACTGTGGACTTGTCGATTCTGGATTTCAGCATCATTTCAGATGAAAAATTATCTTTGGGAAGCTCCAACGTTATTAAGTTATTTTTAAAAGATTTATTCCATCTATTCATATTAAAAATGTAATAAATATATTTTTTATAATTAATTTATGTTAAAAATTATAAAAATTGATATATTTTAATATCATTTATACATATATAATTTTAATCAATTAATTAATTAAATTAAATTAAATATTTATATTTTTAATAAAAATTAATTATAAGAAAATATATTTTACCTTGAGACACAAAATAAAAAAAATAAACCTTTTTTAAAATAGCTACAGTGTTCTCTAGCCAACTTTTCTGCATCTCAAAGATTAATCCCTTCGTTACCAATCTCTGGGCGGAACGTATCCCACGTTGGTCTGTGCATTTATGAGGGTTCCATAGATCCCAAGATTCATGCCAAAAAGAAGTCGATATTTCGAAGGAAGTCTGATACAACGCCAGAATAAAATGTTCATGGTAAATAAAGAATGGTGCATGACATTCATGGTAAGAGGAAAAGGATTCATAAGATACTAAACCAAAAACGTCAAAACTTGAATACAATGCAGAACGTCTACCGAGCAATAATCAGCAGCATGAGTAATAAAACTAGATGCTGAATTTAGTACAAGAGAACATTATTCATGATAAACATACATATCTGATTCATGTAATCTAATAATGCAACATCCACAATTGGTATGTTCAATGCTGCCTCTGGTAAAACTGAAGAGGGTTGTTTAAAGATCAGGCATGCCCTTCCCAGTTTTTGGGTCGTATGTCTTCTCCGTAACAAGATCCATTGGCGTATCCTTGGGTCCAGCTATAAAACGAACAAAAAAAGGCAATTAGATGACAAATAAACATAACTGCATGCAAGATTTTGGGTGTTAATGAAAATCTATCCAGCTAACTCATGTTAAGAATCTCCAGTGGATTCTATGGAAGTGTCTAGTCTATAATATACTGACTATTATGACAAAAACAAATCTGTAAAAACTAAATTCCAATCATGTCTAACATTCAAGTGTCTGCATAGTATGCAACAACATAACAAACAAGATGCAGTTTTTTTCAACAAAGTAGAAAAGGCAAAAACATGTAAACGGTACTTAACCTAGAAGTGAGGAAATTTTGAATTTTTTATAGGAAAGTGATGAGCAAAGAACTTTAAGTGCAGATATTCATATTATAGATACATGCCTAATCACATGTGGTTTGCTATCCCTACATCAACTAATTAAAGTGTTTAAGACAATATAAGGGAAGTGAGGCAATACGTGTCTCATCTCAACTCTCAAGAATTCTATTCCTTGGCTTGCCTAGAGAGTTTTTTGGGCCATAACTTGGCTACAGAGTTAGTATGTTGAAAATTCCATCTATAAGATGTAACTGCCAATCAAAAGCACTGTACATTTGCTTTGAGCACACAGGTTCAATGTAGAAAACAAGCACATGTAATAAACAAAATCACGACATAGCATACTCTAGATAAGAAAGAATAAGCTTTAGTTAGTACCAACTGTAGGTCTTGGTGTTGTCCGTATCTTTAAGATCTCAGGGCGAGGAATGATGGCTCCAGATGCACCTATCCCCCTAGACACTCTTACTTTGGTTCCATCTTCTAGATATTTGATTCCTACCTTACAAGGCTTCCTGTACAAATAATCACTAATTCCATTTAAAAACAGATGGATGAAGATGGCATAATAATGATTCATTCTTGAATCAGAAGGAGCACTGTACCCAGTGACTGGGTCAACAACTTGAACATTTGAGGCATGAAGTGGGGCCTCAACTGTAAATATACCACCTTCGTGATATTGTCCTCCCTTAATATGCTTCTTTACCTACAATGACGGACCAACAAGGCAATGAAAAGACACGAGACAATTATCTTTTCATAGTCAAGCCAATTTTCAATGTCACACAAAAGATAAAGATAGTTGCTGACAAAATTCACACAGTTCTTTCAGATTTTAGCAGCCCAGCAGAACACATAGCAAATAAGCAATTCCATAAACCAGAAACACCCAGGAGCTAAAAGAAGAAATGACAACAAAACTACTGCAAGACAAGCACAAAAAGGTTTTAAATAAGCCCCCTATTAATCTTGGCTGACTAGTTTATTATATCCTATAAAGCTTTAAAATTTAGTCTGAAATTTTAAAACAAATCAAGTGCTGCATATTTACTATAAATTATCAAAAAACATAAATATGTAATGGCCTTAAATTAATATCTTCCAAAAATAAATAACTTGATTTATACTAGAAAATGTCAAAAAGCAAGGAAAGGATAGATTTACGCTTTCAAATCTACCTCTCCACTGTATTTCTTGTTATAATCAATCATGCCTCCTATGCTTCCATTAAAATGCCAAAAGTTCCATTAGATACTAACATCTCTAAGAATATCTCTGATCCCAGGGAAGCAAAAAAATTCAATACCATGGCGGACAAATATCTAGATTTTCTTACAGAAATTTATTCATTGAGCAAAATGAAAACTTACCCACGACCCTCCACCCCAAAAAAGGAGCAAAGCAAAGAGACGACCAAGAATTCGATACACTTACCAGATTTTTGCCCTCAACAATAACACGATTTTGGGAGCGAATTACCCTTTTGATAACACCAGTCTCGCCTTTATCCTTGCCCCTGATTATCATCACCTGAGCATGATTACGGGAAGAATGAATATGAATTGTTCTTGAAATGCAAACGAATCGTTAGTGACTAAGATGTTCTGAATCACAAGCTTACATTGTCTCCCCGGAGTATTTTCCAGTGCCGGATGAGCTTCTCTGCTGCTTTCCAACCCATTTCTTCAACCTCTAAAGAGATTCTTTTCGCACGGTAATACCACTCGGAGCTGAAGCCCCAAGCTTCCGAGGGAGATTTGGGGATCCGATCGTCAGATTTTCCACTGTTTCTGAGGTTTAGGGTTTTGTATTTTACCCTCTATTATCTTTGAATCGCATTTCTACCATTCCTTAAGACCTCAAACTTGTCCCATTTTAGCAGATATACTCCTAAATTAAAAAACAAGCAAATTAACCCTTAAACCGTGCAATTAAAGCAAACTAGCCACTCGTTAATGCCTACTGTTGGTTTTAGTCAATTTTAGCTGATGGGGTCTATAAAAAAAAATGACCGCTGTTAATGCATATTTATTTAACTAGTAAACAAAAATAAATAATTTTAATTTAATTGTTAATTTCATTAAATTGTCACATTAATGTATTAGCATTAGGTGTTTCTTTTAATCAATGATATGTTGATTTAAGTGAAAAGAGTTTTGTTTTTTTTAAATAAAATTTTGAGTTTGAATTTTATGAATGAAAAAATAGATATTGAGAGAGCTTCCCCATTATAAGATGCAATATAGTTCAACTCCAAATTAGTCAGACCCTGATGAGCTTTTGCATATTGGGAGATTAGAACAAAAAAAATTAGGTGTTTCTTTTAGATATATATATATATATATATATTTGTACTAACTTCAGATATCCAAAAGTCACAGTGGAGCTTAGGTAATACAGAGCCAAGTCCGGTCAAACCCTATAAAAGGAAAAACTCTCTTAATATATATTTTTTTATTTATAAAATTTGAACACAAACTTTATTTAAGGAAAACCAAACTCTTTTCACTCGGATCAATAGGTTAATAGTTTTAGATAATTTGTTAACAAAAGGTTAATTTGCTATAATTTGAGTGGTTTGCTTGTTTTTTAGTTTAGGGGACTATAAGCTAAAACGGAGCAAGTTTAAGAGCTTATGGAATGCCTCTTTTTTTTTTTTTTTAAAGTTTGACGTTACATTCTAGGGCTATTTTATAGGCATCTTGTATCAATCTCTTTTTTGCTTGATCAAAAAGTATATAATTCACATTATAATTAACAAATTTATGAGAATTTTAAAAAAAAATTAAACCTTAGTTAATAATATAGAAGTTTAATTTCTTTGAATATGTCAAACTAATATGGAGTCTTTAAGATTATTTAGAAATAAATTAATCTTAAAATATATAAAAATTAACTTAAGAACACCTTAACCTTTAAAAAAAAAAAAAAAAACTAAGCCATCACTTTTGTATTTGTTTTCAAAATGATATGTTAGTTTTCACTTGAAATCCAACTCAACTAAGGATGGTA